ACAGAAACACAGGATGCTGACGCACTCGACAATGTTCTGGACATATAAACAAAAGAATGGTAGTTATGATTGAGATAACAATACTTACGAAGCGCCATACTGAATCATACCTCTGCGTTTACGTACACTCGCGTCACGTTACCCCACTGCGACGCAAAGTCCTCCAGTATTGCCCTTATGCACTCTTCCATAGTTGGAAATGTGTAGCTCTCCTTCTTCAGACGCTCGACCAGTTGTGGATATCCTTCATGGTAGGTTCCGCGTCTGTATTCTCCATAACGTATTCCAGTATCCGTTTCCGGTTGGCCCCAGCTCGATGTAGCGTCCGCACTGAATCAAGAAAGGCTGTGTCACTAACTTGCCGAGCTTCGTGGTAGTTCTGATACAGTTCCCTTCCAACCTCGGGGTTGTGCCCAGTGTTCTGCTTCATGAAAACGATTTCCCAGTCAGCACCAAAGTGTACACAGGCGTTGATCTACACGTAGCTCAGGTTAGTTCCGCTATGTAAAGGAAAGCCTAGCACAAAATGATTTCAAGTGTATACGCACCTGGGCTTTGCAGCCAATTCTCCTGGGGTTCGGACGCATTCCTTGCCCTCGATTGTGCCGTGGTTCGCCATAATGCGTGCAAACATAATTTTTGTTGTAAAACTTTAACTCCTCCGGAATCGGCTTGGCAGTAGACATTGTTCTTTGCATTCTGGCGTTTCTCGTCCGGACGGGAGTGTTAGTCCGAATGGAGTAAACCTGCATGAGGGCAAACGTTAGAAGCAGCTGTAACCCTCAGGCCATAGTAAAGCAGGACGGTGTCACAGTCTCGAAATGTAAAACACTCTAAGCAAATAATACGAACCTGGAAGGTTCTCTTGCTGTACGCCTTCAGATATGACTCCAACGCATCCCAACTGTCAAAGGGTGTCACATCCAACTCAGGAACATTCACTAAGGTGTCCAGAGGAGCGACATCACCCCCGTTGCGTTCTTCTTCTTCAGACTCGGAAGGAATTTGACCACCTGCGTTGGATTCTGGTGTGCAAGAATAACAGGAGTCCCCCCACACACGCACACACACACACACCACCGTGCTGAGATTCAGCTGAGGAATCCAGTGCTTCCGGAAAATCTGTCCTTCGCCGGCTACTAGAGCTGTGATGACACGAGGAGAGGCGACGAGGAGAGTGCTTTCTTCGTTTGAATTTCTTGCCGCGTTCGCGGACGGAAGAACGCCTTCTCACTCTCTTCTTCTTGCTGCGTGAGTTCGTCGGGGCTGCATTGTCGCGGACTTCGCTGTCGCTAGAGCTCGACGAAACGCTTGTATCGTCTTCTACGCTGTCGTCGCGGTGGCGGCGAGGCATCGCGGTGCGATAATTGTTCTAGTTGGACAACGCTGCTTTCGGCTCCCGGTTCTGCTTTGTGGGCCGCCGATTTTGACTGGGGAGGGGGAACCATTTTTAAACACTGAGAGTGATGGTCTGTGTCCGGGTTCGGGTTACTGCACATCGGCAGATAGCTAATAGATTTGTGTCCCCTCAAATGCCCTTTTTAAAGACTGTGCAGGGAGATTCTCAAATTTATTGCCCTTTTACATCATTACGGAATTTTTTTTGTCCAGGTTTTGTAACAAACATTGAAGATGCTTTGATGATGCAATCGGGAACGTGCGTTTGACTTCGTTAAAGTATGATGAAATGTTTTACGAATCGCACTGTATCTGCTTTGTCAAGAAGGTACAAGATCAGTTGAGCTCCTGTAAAATGGCGAAAAATCGCTTTTCTAGAGACTGCTTCCTACTTTTCTTTGCACGAAGATCTGAAAGGGTGATTTTGGCGCATTTTTGCCACGAAAGGGATACAGTAAAAAGATTTTAACTTTTCTGAAGTTTCTTGACGATTTATCTAACTAACCGACTTAACAGTATAAATTTCTAGGTTTTCTAAGAAGCGCATCGTTCTTGTGGTGGAGTGCGCTGCGAGGCTGACATGCCCGTCAGTCTCGCAGATTACAAGCAAACCTACTGATGGGTATTGACGAAACGGACTTTATGACCTGCCGTCAGGGCAACAACGCTGATTACTCAATTGGTGTGGATTAATACTCAACTACAGACTAACGTTATATACAGTATAATACAGTGTGTACTAATACTGTACTATACTATGCGGGTCAGGGTGTGATATTTGATGGTGCTCTATTTTTAGATCAGCGCTGACACCAAGACGCCGGGGTATATGAGGGTCCTGTTTGTGAAGCAGAGTTCTAATCTCACTGAACGCGTTAACGCCCAACGCTAAAATGGTATGTCTTTTAATCTGCTGTCACCTTAGCTACAGATGTCTTTCAGCTAACAGCGCGTCGGTTTCACTCTTCATGCTTAGACTCATTATCACCAAGTTCCCACGTAGTCATTGTATATTATTAATTTCGTGCCGTAAACGCCATGCTTAGCGATGTGCGCTTTGCAGGGTCGTCACAAAATCCACTCGCAGCAATACTTTTTCCACAAGTGAGTCTGGCGTTGACGCCGCGGCTACACGAAGCGCCCACGCGAAACCTGTTCAACTTGTGGTGGGCGGGGGTTATCAGCTTGAGTGTAACCGACCTGGATCGGCCGTTTCCACTCATCTATACGCTTGCTCAAATGGCCCTAAAAAACCCTGTAAATTCCAACGTCCCCAATTTGTAGATAGTGGGCCAAGTCACCCGAAACATTGACCATTTATTGTCCTTTTCCACATTTAGCTGCTTCACTGTCTTGCAAAAATGGTCTTCTATGGAGGCCCACATGATGTGCCTTAGCTATCGTGGGAAAAAGTGCCAGTCTATCTAGTTCAACAGCAGCAGTTGATCCGCTCACGCATACCCCTCATAGACAGTATAGCACCTACCTAGTCGTTCAATAGGACCGCGAGCTTTGCTTTCCCATATCAAACATGGCACTTTTTGCATAATGCCGTCACTGCCAATGCCACAGTATTTCTCGCGATGGCGAGACTAAACCAAAGCCGTCGACAGTATGAGTGAGTTGCGTCTTTGAAGTAGACTGCCCTCTCATTCCCCAAAATGATACGGTCGAAATTCATAGACGGCTTGCGCGCTTGGGTGAAAGCCATGCAGGATCCGCAATTTCATCCGCGCAGAGTTGTGAGCTTGGTGCGCTTAGATTAAGTCAGACTATTGAGAGCTACAACGTTCTGGACCCATGCGTCCAGATCCTTCGCTTAGTCACTCGAGTGGATACCCAGAGCGCCTGCCCTTCATATTGAATCCTGAACTCTGCAACGTTTTTACGCCAGTCGAACCGAGTAAATGCATGAGGAGAATGTGTACTGTTTGAAACAAGTAACTACTAGCAAACAGAAGGTATCCATGTTACGCATCCATAAGAAATTTAGCAAGCCAATTTTCCTGCCCATACTAATAATGAGAAGATATACGCTCCGTCATCATCAACTTCGTTCCGACAGCTTTACCCCCAGAACCAGGAAGATAGACGTTAGCACTCCAACGCCACCACCATCGGCGACGTATAGCCTCTCCATCACTCACAATAACCAAGATCTCCATCACAGTAACCAAGCTCTCCATCACTCGCAGTGGCGTCGACAGACTTAATCAAGGGACAAATCTTGGCGTCATCACCGGGTTCTAAAGCCCAACTACGCGTAACGGAAACCGCGAACGGCAACGACAAGTCGAGCCGCCAAGCTGTGCAGCCGCGAGTGGGTCTGGTATTACGCAGTTGTTGCCAGCGCAAGACCAAGGGAACCGTCGCTACGGCACCGGGGTCCGGCGTCGCGACCATGAACGACAACAGCTAGGCCAAGATCAAGGCCATCCCGATGTGAGTGAGTCCGGTGCCACGCGCGCACATCCACGCAGGCCGAGGTGGGCCAAACCCACGGCTCTCGACAAACCGGCCCAGAGCTCGGAAGCCCCAAGTAACGGCGAGTTGAGCAACCAGACCATGCGAACGGACGCGAGTCCGGTGTCACGCATGTCGGGCCGACGAAGGCTAGGGAGTCGCGGCGCCGGAATTTCAGGCCGTGAGCGTGGCAACCGGAAGCCACAATAGCTATGAGAACACCAAGACCGTGCAGACAGACGCGAAATGGATGCCCCGAGTGTTTTGTCTCGCAAGTATGGCGTACAAAGTGACAATCTGTAAGCAACTGTAAAAATTCGTATATTATATTCAAATTCATGCCATCCTTAATGTACACGCTTTATACATAATCGGTGGGTCAAACATAGTTGTGACACAAGTTAATGCACTATAATAGATGAATGGCCCATGCTGAGTAAAATGTGCATGGCATCCAAGAACAGGACGCAGTATTAAATTCTTGCAATGTTAATATAGTACATCATTAAAATATCAGGTTGGCGCTGCTGTGTTTTAAACCTATAATATACTTCCCATAATAATAGACTAATATCACCACTATTCACTCTGGTTACACAGAAAGGAATATTAAATGCTATCAATGTCAGTAGTAAAATGCAGCACCAAAATATCATCTTTGGCTATACTGTGTAAAAAATAAACCTACAATACAGTTTCCATTTATCTCTTCACTCTGTGTTCATGTATGTCGTTCAGCATTTCATAGTAAAATAGATTAGAATGATAAGGAATGAGCACATACTTTTTTTTGTGAAATTAATGCACTAAACACGTTTCTTTTGGAGGACTTTCTCGGCCGCGTACCTGCCTTTGTTCGGGTTAAATATGATCTACTACGCTGCACTATGAATCGCGATCGTCGGGATGAGGATGCCCATGCTGACCATTATCACGAGATGCGTTGTATTGTGACGAAGTGTGTGTCACAACACTAGGCGTCTGACATCACTTGTAGATGTGGCTTTAAGGTACTATCATGTGAGTAAGTTGGATTTAAGTCTGTATTTATTCAAGAAAACAATACTATGAGTGACGATGCACCCGAGTCTCCTGTCAACCCTAAACCAACTGATGAAATGAAACCCAACCTTCTCACGAAGCTGGAAGACACACCGCCAATTGTGCCTCAGCTTTTTTTTCGCATTTCTGTGCCGGGAAGTTCAGCAGAACCGCATGTGTGGTCCGACCCCAGAGTTAAAGCACGCGCAAAACTTTGTAAAGGGATGGAGAAGAAAAAACAAGCCAGACAGTATGACTCCTGTAATGGAGATTTGCCGGTAATTCGTGTATGATCGTGAGGATCGTACGGACAGCGGCCCGAAATCCCTGCTTGTCGTTTGTGATGTGCAAGTAGTGAATGGATTAACTGAACCATGGATCGGAGGCGAAACCTTGTCGAATTGGATTGACGTGCATAGAGCTCCTATCTCGTTACGTTGCTGTACAGAAAAATCCAGAGCTATCTACAAAAATGCATTTGGATAATACCCACAGCGTTGTGAAGCAGAATTATTCTGTCTTCGTTATTGGTATTTCAGATCGTAGTAGAGGGTTTCTACCTATTGTCTACTTTGTACTTCACAGCGTCGTGAAGTGGACGTAGTAAGGTCTATTTTAGTTTGAAGCGAGTCATCCTCCTGGAACTTGGCGTGCAGTTGTTGCCTGATTATGTTATGATGGATGCGGACAAAATGCAAAACAATGTCTGCGTATCAGAGGTACCATATAGCAAAATCCTAATGAGCTGGTTCCTTGTTGCATAAAGTTTAATCAACCATCTCCAAGACCAAATCTGGCTATTGTATCCAAGCAATTGATCTTTCGTAATCTTTATGATTAGCATGTTGCTGCTACTGAGGAGGAATATCTCAGGAAAAGTGCATTTGTAATGAGTTCTTGGAAGGCTGGTGGTAATATCTGCCCTAATTTCGCCGATTGATCAATCATATTATTTTACTTTAGATCCTAGGCGTGCGATTTTAGTGTTGGCAAGCCTTTCCAAACTCCTACAGGCTACGTGACAACTAATAAACCTTTGTAAACGTGTTACCATACAATAAACCAAGTCAATGATATCAAGAGAGCAACACCTACTGGGCCTGTAACCCACTTTCATTTGTCTCCTACTGGGTATGTAGCATCTATGGCCCCGTTCATTAACGAACCATAACTTTTGAAATGCTTGAAGGCATCGCATAGGCGTGCTGGCAAGATGAAGACAAGGAAAGAATTCATTGCTCACCGTTTGCAGAACCGGGACCGCGTTCTTGTTCGGGATTCGCCTTTGGCGCGAAATACAGCTGATAGTCAGCAGAACAACGAGGATTCATTAGGAGAATTGATTCATCAAATGCGTCTGCAGCGCTATTAGATGGCCGGTGTTCGTATGAAGCAGCCAATTACTCTAGACTTAAGTGGGTCGGAATGCCTGGAGGAGGCTAGGTTGTTGCTGCAACAACTAAATCATGCATGTGTCTAATTTGGCGAAAGATAGGCATTTGCCATCACGTGATAAAGGCCACACAGGTGGCTGAAATACCTTGTCCTGGAATGCCGTTGCCTTTGCAGAGATTTGTGACTTCAGCAAAGACAGGTCGTTCGAAGCCAGCGCCAAAAATAATCCCCTGCCTGTGTCTGAGCCCGTGTCAATTGAGGAAGGGGCAGTGCTATTTGGGCCTTTAACTTTCCAGGAATCGCACGAGCCTCGTACGCAAGCAAGGTCTCATGATGATACCCAAAGTTGGGATGTGGAGCTTCCTGTAGAGCCGCAAGTTGCGGAATCGGCACACCTCGAATTGGCGCTGGAGCCGAATGTACATGCGGAACCGCTTGTTGAACATGAATAGATCGCTTCTGATGGTAGTGATCATGATGTGCACGAATCCGCTAACTTAGCTGATCCCGGTACACGAGGTGAAGACAGCAGAAACAGGTCCTGTGTAATAGATACGGCGCTTGGCACGAGATTTCAAAACCAAGGGGGGCCTAATGCTTCACCAATGGTTTATGATCATGTCCTAGATATCCGCCGGTCTGGCAGAAGAAGGCTGCCTTCACTTCGAGCTCATGAGGCTTACGCACTAAACAAGAATTACAAAAGTTAAGCTGCCACGATTTGAAGTGTCACGCAGCATGAGACTGATGCATCGAGAGCTACGTAAGATACTGGATGTACATTTGCAGCCTGCATGAACCACAAATTCCACGCAAAAATATATATACTCGTGCCTTCTATTCCCACAAAACCAATGTTAAACCGTACTCGATTGATCTGCACAGTGCTTCTTTCACTTCGGTCCATTTCAAAAACCGGTCCGTGAGCTTACGTCGATCTACCCGATCACGGGTATCAATGGTAACCACGAGACCATCACATCGGCGGGTCATTTGAACATGTATCCGTACCCGGAAACATGAAACTGGAGGCGGAGAACTACCTGGGGTACATCTATCGAGTGTACACGCCGATTACTGAGAACGCTAAGACTGAACTACACACTAAATATGCAGTGGACATTGGTATCATCCACTGTGTGTTCCTGGACGACTACGCGGGATCAAGAGGAACCAATATAACCATGGTGGGCGCGGCAGCGTGGCTGGCGAACCGTAACGCGCAGCTTGAATGGGTGAAATCGGATCCGGAGAGCGTGGACCGCAGTGTCACCCCGTGGGTTGTTGTTATCAAGCATAACTCATACTACAACACTTGGAGCAACCTCCAGTGTCGGTGCTCGTCCCCGATCTTTGAGATAAACGAAGATGATGTCGATAAGTGCTGGAATGACACGTATTATTCGGGCACTGTGTACTCACAGCCACAATGCGGTCAGATGGCCAAGTGGGAGGAGGCTTTCTCGGCTAACGACGTGAACGCCATGATCATGGCCCACGTGCATGTACACGAACGCACTGTCATGGATGTCAGGATCGCGCTGTTTGCGACCGTAGATTACTGGCTGATCGGCAGGAGCGACAACGCTGGCGACTTCATCTCCTTCGTGTTCGTCTTTGATCTCTACACGTCAGTGTGTACCTACGTGAGTCAGTGGATGTCGGCTCTGATGCCGATCGAGTAGGTGGAGAATGTGGCTACCGGTGCGCTGTCGTATATGTTTAGCTTTTCTCTGGCTACCTCTGTAGCATCTGGCCAAGAAGACTGTCTACAAGGGGTTCATGTACCTGATGCCGTCAAGCTATTCGCTGTCGGCGCTGGTGGGCGTTCTGTTTTGTTAAGTGCAGTGGTGTAGTATATTATCTTTGTGAAGGATGATGGTGTCACGACTGAAATGACCGTGGGGCAGTACATCAAGAAGCATTACAAGCTCCGACCGAACGACAAGTACAGCATGTCGAGGTGTCGCAACGTAGGATTGATGAGTAGCTGCGAGTGATAGTGTTTTTAAGCCGAAAATTTGATGTTGAAGTTTATTCTTATTTGATTTTGCACTTTTGTTTATGCTTCTGTATCGTGTTACTCGAGAATGTTAAAGTGCGGCATCGATTGATGGACACGTGAATGAAGGTTCCGAGTCCGAGAGTTCTAGACTAGAGGAGGTTTACGAGGAAAGCCACTGTGAAGTCTAGTGACAAGGGATGGTAGCGTAGCGTAGCTAGTTTTGCGGTCAGTGTCAGAGTTACCAAGACGTGCAGAAGTAAACGCGCAGGACGCGCTGCAAATCAAGCTTTACATTTTTGCATCTTCACAGGGTTATGAGCCCAAACAAGGTGTCGTCGTGGGAAATTGAAGTCTCTGAGAAGACTGGCAGGCCCGTACGATGGGCAGGTCAGAACTGGGCGTACTATCGGAAGCTGATGGAGTTGGCGTTCGATGACGAAGACGTGTTCACCATTGCCACGGGGACCTTGACGCGAGACCTCAACTGGACGCCTCAGCAAGTCAGCATGTGGGACAGCCAGCAGCGAAAGATTCAACGGATGATTTTCGCCTCCGTAAACACGGATTTCGGGCAGCAGCTCATGCAGCATCCTGACGGGACAGCCATGTGGGCGTACCTCTGCAGCCGGTTTGACGGGACAGTCAATGATCAGACTCGGGCCCTGACCAAGAGGAGGCTGTATGCCGAGCTAGAAGCGTCGCGGCGCAAGCCCAACGCTGACGTAGAGGGGCATCTGAACTCTATGAACCGGTTGCGTTCGCGTCTCCAGGCGGTCGGAATGACACTCGACGACACGGTGTTTAGCGGAATGCTGGCGTCGTCTCTTCCGTCTGGTGACAGATTTGATAGGCTTCGGGGCTTTGTGGAGACGGGTATGGACTGCGTCGACACTCCAGAGAAGATTATCGAGCTAGCGATCACGTACGATCGGGCCAACAAGGCTGATCAAGTGTTATCACGGACGTTCAGCAGCGCCGACCGCTCGACCAACCAGAACCAGCCAAACAAGCCGCAAAACGGAGGGGGTGGAAAGAACAAGAAGCCTCAGGGCGGCAAGGACGGCAAGGATATCAAGGATGCCAAGCAGCAGTTTAACGATGATCGGAAAGCTGGGAACTGCTTCGGGTGTCACAAGTCTGGTCACAAGCGTCAGGATTGTCCAGAAGCTGCAAAGGACGATGATGGTGGTCAAGCCCACATCTCGTTTGCTGGTAATCCGGAGGAAAGTGCTAATAATGACCAGAGCCCGGCCAAATGGAAGCAGTCCACGGCGAGTGCTGCCGGTGCGTCTAAGAAGCAAGCGAATAAGACCACGAGCTCTGGAGGCTACAGTGCAGGGCTGTGGGTCTACGACAATGGAGCTAACCGTCACTTGGTCGGTGACAAGCGATACTTTGTTGAGTACAGAAGCCTATCAGCGGCGGAGCGCAAGAAGGAAACGGTGAAGGGCTACAATGGAGTCACGACACCTGTCGGCGTTGGTATGATTGACCTGTGTGTGGACGTGGATGGAAGTCAAGTGTCGATACGTCTTGAGAACGTATTCTTCTCTCCAGGAAGGCCGAACCTGTTCTCCCAGTCTATGGCGCGCAAGCAGGGCTTTCAAGTTCACTACGATGACGAGACTGCGCTTTACACGCTGTCAAAGGAGGGCACGACCTCGCTGTATTCGCCCTTGAAGCCGTGTGGGCTGTGGCTGTTCACGGCGAAGAATCAGTTCCTGTCCGGAATCGAAAGCTCAGTGGAGCCGGCGACGATGGTAAACTATGCGCTTCGGGATGGAGTAGCAGATTTGCAGTGCTGGCACGAGCGGCTCGGGCACCTCGGGCACCAGTACGTCAGGAAGATGGTCGATGATGTCCTGGTTGAAGGGATGATGCTCCGCAAGCGGCTACGAGCGGCTCGGGCACCTCGGGCACCAGTACGTCAGGAAGATGGTCGATGATGGCCTGGTTGAAGGGATGATGCTCCGCAAGCGTCAGTTCACGACGTGCGAAGCTTGTCAACTGGCGAAACAGCGCGCTAAGCCGGCGAAGCAGCAGCTCGACCGCGGAGTCACGGAGAAGAATCAGCTGGTGTTCGCTGACCTACTATTTCCGCCAGCCAACTATAACTGCACAAGATACAAGGCTGTTCTGGTGCTGATGGACGCGCATACGAGGTTTGTCACGGCTTACCCGGTGAAATCCAAGACAGGAGATGAGATCAACGCGCTCGTTCGGAAGTACGTGGTCTGGGCTGAGAGGCAGTCTAGTGGCCGTAAGGTGAAGACGCTGTTCACGGATGGGGGAGGTGAGTTTGTTAACGTAGCAATTACGGCGTGGTACGAGCAGCACGGTATTGTGCACACCACGACGCCTCCGAACTCGTCACGGTTGAACATGGTTGAAAGGACTCACCAGACTTTAGTTGGAATGATGAAGGCGATGATGAAGGAGTCAGGATTACCGACTTCCTTCTGGGTAGACGCGCTGCACTACGCTGTCTACCTCAAGAACCGATCGTACTCGGCCCCAGTAGGGCGAACTCCGTACGAAGCTATGTGGGGGAGGAGACCAGATCTTCACCACGTGAGGAAGTTTGGTGCCCTCGCGTACGTCCACTCGAAGGTTGGGCCATCGCGCCACAAGTTTGCAGACAACTGTCGTGTGGGTTTTCTCCTTGGTTTCCGTGAAGACACGCTTGGATGCAAAGTATATTTCCCAACGGAGGGAACGGTATTGTACGGGGGACAAGTCACAGTGAACGAGCAGGTGATGTACAAGGACCGACGTGGACCTGAGTTCGAGAGCAATGTTCGCGAGTGGGCTCACGAGACTTATCCGGATCTGACGAGTGCTGGACGCGGAGATTACGACCTACCGGTCGCAGGAGGGCGTGAAGATGGCGGGTCGACGCGTGATGTGGTGTACGACGAAGACGATGACGAAGATGAAGACGTTGTCGAGCAAGTGAACCACGCGCCGCAACCGCACCATGCTGCCTGGGTAGACCGGGAGCCTCCTCGGTTTAGCGATGACATTGTGTTTTATGAGCCAAACTCACACAAGCATGAGGCTGAGCGCCAGGAAGAGGCAGAATCAAAAGAAAATGGGAGTCCGATAGACGACGATCAAGCCGACGATGAGCTGGAGGTAAACGATGATGAAGATCCAGCCGTCGATGAGGAGGAGGAGGACGTTCCTGAACCGGAAACATGAAGCAAGAAGAGCCGGTGAAGCGACTTTGGCATGAGTCTGAAGTTCGATTGCCACGAAGCTTCAAGGAGGCGATGCGCTCGCCGCAGCGCAAGGAATGGCTGGAAGGAATGGAGAAAGAGCTAGCTGCGATGCAAGACAAGGATGTGTTCGAGCTCGTGACAGAGGACGAGATTCCACACGGAAAGAGCCTGCTCCAAACAATGTGGAGGTTCCAAGTGAAGACTGACAAAGATGGCAATGTGGTACGGTTCAGACCTCGACTGTGTGCGAGGGGTGACAAACAACAGCCTGGTATTGACTTCGTGATCTCGGAAATATTCTCTCCAGTTGCTGGTATGGCAGCTTTTCGATTGTTCGTGGTGGTGTACGTCTTGCTAGAGCTGGATATGTTCCAGTGCGACGTCAACACAGCGTTCCTGAACGCAAAGTTGAAGATCACTCACTTCATCAAGAAGATTGCAGGGTTTCCGCTCGAAAACGGAATGGTCTACACGGTTAAGAACGCACTGTATGGACTGCATCAGAGTGGGCGAGAATGGTACGACGAGCTACACGCATGGCTAGTGAAGAACGGCTGGAGTCGTTGTGCGTCAGAGCCGTGTATGTACGTGTACAACCAGGAAGGAGTCTTTGCGCTGCTGCTCGTGTACGTCGATGACCTTATTTGTGGCACAAACGACGAGAAGTGGAAGGAGGGCTTCTTCAAGAAGCTCAACGCGAAGTACGGGATAAAGGACCAAGGCAGGCTGCATAACTATCTGGGAGTTGAAGTGGAGATCACTGGCGATGAGGTGTTCTTACACCAGACGAAGTATGCTCGAGATGTTGTGAAGCGGTTTGGATTTGAGTCGGCCAGGGGATGCCGCTCACCGATGGACCCAACGGTAAGACTACGTGCGGCAGATCCAGAAGGCGTCGAAAAGGAGCCTGGTATTGACTACCGCGCGGCAATCGGGTCGCTTATGTACTTGGCGACGTGCACTAGGCCGGACTTGGCATTTCCGGTGGGGTTTCAAAGCAGGTTTGTTGCGAATCCGACGGTACATCATGGCGGAGCACTCAAGAGGGTGCTGAAGTATATGGTGGAAACTACTGGTCATGGCATTTGCTTCAAGAAGCCGAAGAAGGATCCTATGGTATTGAAGGCTGCGAGGTCTAAGCTTTGCATCGAAGGGTTCTGTGACTCGGACTGGGGGAATTGCCCGGAGACCAGGAAGAGTGTCACGGGGTACGCACTGTTGATTGCCGGTGGGCCAGTTGCATGGGCAGCTCGCAGGCAGACGATCGTCGCGCAGAGCACGGCCGAGGCTGAGTACGTGGCCGCGTGCGAGGCGTGCATGGAAGGGCAAGCGCTGGTGAACGTCTTAACAGAGATT